CTCGCGCCATCGGGCGGCGGCGCCAAGCGAGCTGACAGCCAGCGGCGCGACCCGCCGTTCCCCACGGCGCTGCACACGCGCGCACACACCTCCCACCCCGGCCGCCACCTCCCGCGGCAGCGCGAACAAAGGGGGCGGGGGCCGCCCTGGCCCAGGAACCGCCCCCGGCCCCGCTGAGTCCGCGTCGGGCCCCGCCCCGCTCAGGATCCACCAATCAAAGGCCCGAACGAGCAGCAGGGGCGGGACTAGCGCCTTTAAAGGGTCCTCTTGCCTCCCCTCGCACCCCCGACACTCTTGGCTCGCGTCCACCCGGCTGCTGGGAGGTGGGCGGGATTAGACCGTTGGGGTCTGGGTATGGGGTGGGAATGGGACGCAGCCAAGAAGGTGACCACGCTGGAACCTCGCGCCCGCAGTCGCAGGACCTCAGCCTCAATGAGACTTCGTTTCGTAAATGAGGAAAGTGAGCCGCAAAGAGGGGAACTACCCAAGGTCACACATCGAAGTAGTGGCTACACTTGGGTAAGAACGCCGGCCTCTGGGCAAGCGCTGCACTTCAAAGCATCCCACAGCGATTAGCGGTTTATAGTTCTAGAGAGCCAGGAAAGCGTCCCTTCTGCATTTATTCCAGTAAATTCGCCAACCTTTATTGACGGGGTTCTTGCTAGCTTCTAACTAAACTTCCCCCTACCACCACCCTGCTGCATTTTAAAGGTCATCCTTCGGTTGATTCCTGGCAGGCTCCTGCCTGGAGGGAACCCTTCCTACTACTGGGCCATGGTCCCATTGACCTTTGTGACCCACCGATGACCCCCGGCCCTGGCTCACACTCTGCTTGTTGTGGCAGAGGGTCAGTGTGGGAGGCCTGCGCTGCCCCCGGAGAGGAGGGAACAAAGGGGGCACTCATCTCCAGGCACCTGGTGGAGAGACTGGGCGGCACAGTGGGTGGGAAGGAGGGAGGCAGGCGTGCAGCTGCCTGCAGGAAGGGACACAGAGGACAGGAGGGAGACCCTGGGGACTTTGACTCAGGGCAGTGATGGGGGAGGAGGAGGAGGCAGGGCTGGAAAGCAGGGTCCCTTTCTAGTCCACCTCTTCTCCCTTGGAGCCCAGGCCCCCTCCTGCTGCCCCCAACTCCCAACATTGGGGCCATTCACAGGGCCCCTCACCAGCTGTCCTCCCTCACCCAGCTCCCTCCCTGGAAAGGGCCCAGGAGGAGGACCCAGCTGCAGCTCCAGATGTGGATGTCTATCTCTGGGGGAGGGGAGGAAGGGGAGTCTGACTCCCAGCTTCTTGCATCACCCTCAGATGATGAAACCCAGCCAGAGGTTTTGGCAAAGGGCTAGGGTCTGAGGATACAGCTGCTGGTGCCATCTTCCTCCCCTTCCCAGTCCCCTCACCCCCACAGACACTGCTCAGTTCAGTAGCCCAGATCCCTGTTTGGATTGACTTTAGTAAAAACAAAGATAATCTCAAGGGCAAATTTCAAGGGCAAATCAACATGCTCTCCCATCCTCCTGGGAAACAGCACCACCAGCAGTGTCCCTGGGATGGAGAGGAGAAGATCCTGGTGGGACCCTGCATCTTCCTAGCATTTGAACCCAGAGGAAGTTCTCCATGGGGCCAACAGGTCACTGCTCCAGGGCAGGAGACCAGCAGAATGTTGAGGAATCAGATCCTGAATGTTCCTGCCTGCTTTCCAACCAGAGTGGGGGGTGGAGGGGAGCCTTAGGTGTATAGACTGCCTACACACACACACACACACACACACACACACAAAACTATTCTTGTCTCACCCTATAACGTTGGCAGAAAGCCTTTTTATTCTTTTTCAGTTTTTGCAGATGGGCAAATGGAGTTTCACTCAACGTAGAAACAACAGACCCAGGATTTGAACATATGCATTTGGCTCCAGACTTCCCAGACCACGGCCAAGCAACTGCCCTGGGGGAAGGGAGCTGGGCTGGCCCTCTAGGCACAGCAGTCTTGATCTGGGATTTAGCCTTCCAGGATGGAAGCTCTCTCCCATCCTCCCATCTTGGGGCTTCTCTGGGGCCCAGCTCTGGTTTCCTACCACCAGGGGTCTCTTCTCACTTCCTCCAAAGTGGGTGACCCTGTGACTCCCAGCTTCCTGCTGGGGGACATCTCCAGGGTGTTGTGGAGATGTCAGGAATCAACCTCAGCCACTCCCTCCTGGGCTAGCAGGGAGAGCAGGGCAGCCTGGGCTCCAGACCCGGGCTCCTGGCTCTGTTGCCCAGGGCTGAAGAGGTAACTGACCAGGGGCTGGACAGGATCAAAGGTGGAAGAGAGTCTGACTGCGTAGCATGGCGAGGTTTAGATTAGCTGGACCGAAGGAAGCTTCACACAGTCCTGCTTCCTCTCTGGTTTGTTCCCATCCCCTCTCTCCCATCCCTTCCCTCCTTCCAGACCCTGGAGATTTTCAGGATCAGCTAACTGTGTGTGTGTCCTCTACCTCCATGCTTTCCTCTCTGCCTGACAGAAGCCGGCAAACACGCACGCACGCATGCACATGCACACATGCACACATGCACACATACATGCCCCTAATTGGATTACAGTTTGAGCCTCAGCTCTTCTCTGAACTCAGGCCCCGCCTCAGGCATCTTGGGGCCTCCATCATTTCTTCTGACAGGAGTTGTGGGTGTCTGGGCAGATGGGAGCCTGGGGGAGGTGTGGGGGGCCCGCTACAAGGCAGGAAGCTCCCACGCTACTGTAGTTAAAATATTCCCCTTAAAATACTCCAGCAGAGACATGGGGCAGCCATCTGGCTCAGATTTCTCAGGAATATCCCAGTTCTCAGTAGTTGCTCTACAGGAACAAGCCAGCACATAAAAGATGCCTGTGACCCTAGAAATGTCTCCAAAGGGGACCTGAACTTGTTCCCTTTTATCTTCGGGGTTAGCCCTGGGCTTGGCATTTGCAAACATTCTCTGAGCAGAGCCCTGAAATTCTGGCGGTGAAAGATGCAGAGTCCTGGGCCTCCAGGCCCACCTGTGACCCCACCCTGCACTGCGCTTGGTCCTGGAGAAAGCAGGCATTAGTCCACCCTGCTAGCAGGGATCTGCCACCCCCTCCAATACCGGCCTGTGGACAGAGTCCCATTTTGCCCATCTACAGGAGCCTAGAACCCTAGAGGGCATCTCCCAGGGTCCAGACTCAGGAGAGCTTAGCCCCCACACGGGCTCAGTCTGACTTCCTCTGCTACAGGAGGAGACAGACTTAACCACAGAGGAAACCAGAGTTTGTTATAAATAGCAAAGAAGGGAGAGAGCAGCCGTGGATGATGCCTGCCCCATCGGTCACCTCATCAGTCTTAAAAGCACTATTTTTAGTGTTGAGTGATAATGAACTTTTAACTAATACTCTCTATGACAAACGTGGGATATTTGTCAACATTTCTACTTTGGAATGCCTTTAAAAAAAAAAAAGTTTATTTCTTTCATGGGCAAGAGAGACAGGAAGACAGTGCCACCACCCCTCCACCACCACAAACACACAGGGTCGTGATGGCTCGATTCACTCCCGACTTCAGCCAGCCCTGGCTCATGGACATACACCTGCCTGTCAGCCAGCCCTGGCTCATGGACATACACCTGTACCTGCCCAGCTTTACTCACGAAGTCTGGACACCGACCTGGAACCTTTGCATGTGGGTCAGTCTTGCAGTGTAGTGTTTGCTGTAGTGCCACCTGCTGGCCCCGGCTGTGCTTTCTAATACAGCGTTAGGGTGACAGGCAGGGGTAAATGTGGACAGTTTTCAATGCCAATGAATCCTAGACTTAAAAATTGTCAAGTCCAGGGACCAGCAGATGACGGAATGGCTACATTGCTGGACTCCCATGTAGTCGACCACAGTTCAAGTCCCAGACCCAATGGCTTAAACTCATACCGGGTGCGTGTGCGTGTGTGCCCAAGATCCCAAGAGGAGAATGGAGAAGGGATTGTGGTGTGGTCATCCCCCCTGGGGGTGACTTCTCGCTTTCTGTCTCTCTCTTACTGCTGTTATTTTTTATATATATTAAAAAAAAAAAAAAAAGGGAAAGAAACTCCAGAAGGTTATGTGAGCTCCCTGACTCGCACACACCATGGAGTGAGAAATGTGGGTTCAGACCTAAGAGTGATGTCCCAAGGCTCTGCTCCTAAGCTCCTTCCAGAGAACAGACTCCCAGGAGAGGCAGTGGCAGGGGTCTCGTGGCCCCGTCCAGAGCAGGGTCTTGAGTCCCCCGACCTCTGCCAAGGCCAGATCTGAGAGGCGCCTCTCTTTTGAAGATGAACTGGGACTGGGCCCACCCTTCTCTGCCTTTCCAGGAACCCTCCATCTGAGCTCTGGACCTTCAGATAGAGGGTTCCCCTTGTCTCCACAGCCAGCCTAGAGCTCTGTGCCCACTCCTCCTGCTAGCCACCTGTCCCCTCCTTCTGGCCACCCAGCAGCTGGGTTCCAAGTTTGCAGGATATGATCAGGGAGAAGGTGGGGGTCCAGCAGGCGCTGTCCTGGTGAGGGTGTCCAGGGGATGGCAGGTAGTTCCACCTGTCCCCATGTCTATACTGTCTCTGTCAGCTGGTCCTGCTAGGAGCAGGGGTTGATCTTACCCGAAATCTGCTCCCTCCCCTCCCTCCCCTTCTGCCCTTGGCCTTCCACAGTTGGGCTTCTGGGCTTTGAGTAATTTGCAGCCTTATGAGGGAAACCCATTCATGACTTCCAGAGAAGCTGGGGCGGAGGCAGGACTTTACACATTCTAATAAACTAGAACATATATTTTTTTAATTATTTATTTTTATTTATTAATATTTTAAAATTTGACTAGAGAGAGAAAGGGAAAGTGAGAAAGCAAGCTACCAGGTCTAGGACTCAAACCATAGTCAGCCATATAGGAGTCTAGTGCCTTAGCCACCACGCCACCTGTGGGCCCCAAATAATATCTTGTATGTTGCAAAGGAAGCTGAACTTTCCCAAAGGGTGAAGAAGTAGTAGCAAAGTTTCTCAGAGCCCTTGGGTATGTAAAGACCAGCAGAGGGAAGGAATGGCATAGATTGGACAAGCGGTACACCAGCTAAGGGTTTGGGCTGTGATGCTAAGCTGCCCAGATTGAGTCCCCATGTGACCCTCTTACCAGCTGCGTGGCCTTAGGCAAGTTATCTTCTCTGTGTCATATTTGCAAGGTGGGGATGATGACACCTTCCTTCATCGTTAGGATTAAATAAATGAATATATGCAAACGCGCAGAGTAGGTGCTGCCATGTGGTCAGTATTCTCTCTGTGGTAGGTGATTATATAAGATGCTCATGTCCCGCTTGTAAATAAAAACAGATGGTTAAGGAGCTGGATTCCCACGTGGCCGACCAAAGTTCTAGTCTTGGACCCATGCAGCTTGAATTCACAATCAATCAATCAATAAATAAATAAATGGGGGGGGCAGCAGGTGGTGTAGTGGTTTTGGTGCTGGACTCCCACATGGCTGGCTGCAGTTCAGTCTGTACTCAGCAGCTTGAAACTCATGCTCGCATGTGTGCATGAGTGCCCAAATCCCAAGAGGAGAATGGAGAAGGGACTGTGGCGTGACCATTCCCCTCGGGGGTGGGGGTGGGGGGTGAAGGCCCACTGTCTCTCTCTCTCTGTCTTTCCAGCCAGTGGATATACCCTATAGCAAAAAAACCTCTCTACATAAATAAATAAATAAATGGATTTTCTTTTCTTTTTCTTTTTCTTTTCAATAATTTCACAGTGTAAGCAGCACTTCCATCTTATCCCCTTTGGAGAGGAGCCCATGGTGTGGACGCTGTGAACCCTGCAGGTGGGCCCAGCGTTCTCCTGCCTGTAGAGCTGCCCATGGAGTCCAGCTGGTGGCCCTCCTGAGGTAGAGCTCTTCCAGGGTCCCCACCTCTAGATCCTTCTCATCTTGTGTTTAAAGAGCAGTTTTGGAGCCACTGATGAGAGCCGGGAAGGGCTCGGCCCCGGAGGAAAACTGTGGTCCAGCCCAGCACTGGCCGGGGTGAAAGAGGCAGTTACCAGCTGGGTGCAGGGGAAGTGGTGTGCAGATTTCCAGGCTGGGCTCCAGAGTTTGGGGGTGTGTGGGGAACGCTTTCTGCAGACATGATGGCAAGGCTGAAGTTCGAAACATGCCCAGGGGTGGGTCAGTTTCCAGAGAGAACAGCACATCTGAACTCAGACCCAGAGCTGGGCCCTCTGGCTGGGGCGAGTAGGAGGGCGGGAGGTTGAGTGGAATTCTGTTGGGCTGGATCAAGTGGATGAGGCAAGAGTTTTGTATGATATTCTGGAGACTTCGGGGGTGTTTTTAAGGGTTTTTAAAGCAAGGAGATAAGTTTTTTCTTTTGGAGAGGCACGCTGGGAGGAAGAGAGGAGGCCGGGATGCCAGTTCAGAGGCATGAGATGGCAATCAAACTGTGGATGTAGGAGGGGAGACAGGTGGAAGACCCACGGAGGAGAGTGAAGCCCTGGGCACAGGAAGACGGGACGTGGTCCAGGACAACACCCAGACTTCTGGCCTGAATGGGGAGCAGGTTTCCCTGAGGTCAGCCAGAGCACAGAACTACAGGGATGGCCATGCTGACCATAAGGTCAGCGGTAGGCACACTTAGGTAGAGTTGGCTCAGAGGAGCAGGAGGCTGAGACCCGGATTTAAGAGGTTTGGACCAGAAATATGGACTTGGGAATGATCAGACATAGATGCAGCTAAGATATGAGAGTGAACAAGATCCCCCAGGGAGGGGAGTTCGAGACTGAAGGGCGTTTCAGGAAGAGGGACTGTAGAATAGGATCCAGGGCTGCCCCAGAGTCAAGTACAATCAGGATTGTAAAGGGCCCGGATTGGCCATAAGGCTTAGTGATGTTGGTGAGCTAGGTTTCGGAGGGGTGGGGCAGGAGGCAGACAGTGCGGGACAGGACGGGAAATAGAACCTAGGCAAGGATCACCGGGTGTGAAGGTGTGTCGCTAGTAACAGGAGGAGAGGATGGATGAGTTCAATAGGTGGTGGGCGGTGGGTGGGCAGGACGGCTGCAGTCATTGGCTGGTAAGAACTTGGAAGCACCTGGATTGTGCTACCTGCAGATGGGAGGAACCAGCAGGGAGAAGACAGAGAGGATAACGGCTAGGGTAGAAGCCAAGGGGCTTCCACTGGACTGAGGAGCGAGAGGACAGAAGCAGGGAAGCTCATTGGTGAGGTGACAGGAGTGAGAGGGACCTTCTGCTGGCTTCTGTGTCTGTAGAGGGGGAGGACAGAGCCACTGGTGTTGAGGCTGAGGAGAGAGGGCAGTTGAAGTAGCTGTACTGACCAGGGGCCAGGAAGCTCCAGAACCCAGTTGGGTCAGGCCCCAATAGCGCCCTGAGAGTCAGAGGCCCTGTCCTGTGCGACCTGCAGTCTGGGACAGGCCCCAAAGCTGAGCAGCCTGTCTGGGCTTTCCAGGCTGCAAGGGGAGGCCAGTGTGATGACCACAGCAATGGCCGCAGAGCGTGTGCTTGGCACACACTTAATGAAGGATGGCGAGAAGAGGGTCCAGTGAAGTGGGAAGGGGCACTGCAGGACTCAGGGCAGAACCCTAACTTCGCCTTCTCCTGGCTGTCACCTTGGGTGTGACATGTCACCACTCCGTGTCTTCATTTCCTCATCTTTAAAGTGAACCCTATACCCACCTTACCAGGTTGTGGTGGGAACAAAATGGACCTTGCAGGTGGCATGTGAGGTACAGGGCTCCTGGGTAGGGTCATGTGTGTGGCTGGCACACAGTGGCACTTGCTAACAGCATCACAGTGCTCATTGTCACCCAGGGTGGCAGAGGAGTGTGGGCACTGGGCCTTTGACATGCAAGGCAGAGCGTGTATGGAGCAGACTCAGGCCAGTGAGACAGGGTCCTGGCTTCAAAAAGGGGCACCCTGGAGAGACCTGGGGTGTGGGGGCTGCTCCTGAGGCCACAGGCTGCTTGGCCCAAGCCAGTGGCCTGGACTTCCAAGAGAACCTACACTCTACAAGAGTCCCTGCTTCATGCAGAATGAAAAACCACACGGCCCTCTAGTCTTCCAAGCCCATGTGCCAGGCTCCAGAAGGGAGTGGGGACGGAGTAAGAATGCAAAAATGGAGATAGCAGAGGCCAGGTGCCAGTGTCACAGCCCGGAGACTTTAATGTCCTGCTGGTGGGAGTGGCCTTATGCCAGACAGACCTGGCACTGACCAGGCCTTTCTGAGAGACATTAGAAGCTCCATCCAGTCATGCCACTTGCTGCCAAGGGGAAGGGCCTGTCCCCCGACTTCCTCCTGACTTCAGAGGTGGTTCCTGACCACCCCTACTCAGCCGCTGAGAGGGTAGAGGCTGCCGTGGGGGTGACCTTTCCCCACTCCCGCAGCCCCCTCTGCATTGGTCACGCATGCCCTAAGCCCACGCTGATGCTGTGTGGCCTTCACAGTCTGGGAGGAATAAGGGTCTCCTGGGAGCCCTGAGGCTGGTCGAGGCTGCCCACGGAGGAACTGAGGCTCAGTTGCCCCAGGGCCCTGGCCTGGCTCTCTGGGGATTCATGTCTTTTCAGGATCTCTGTGGCTGCCACCTCTACTTCCTCTGGTTGCATGTGGCAGGCATCTGCCAGGGCCTTGCCTGTTGCCATGACGAAGCCAGTATCAGCCGCCAGCGTGTCCAGGCCCCCTCGAGCCAGAGCCTGCAGGGCAGAGGAGAGGCTGGGTGGGGTCTTCCTGGGGAGCTGTCTCCTGTTGGCCCCATCCTCTCTCTACACCACGCCACCTGTGCTGTGTCCCAGCCCCCACCTCACCTCTTGGATCAGCTGGGCTGTGGCTGGAGCCAGGCACCTGGAGGTCCCCTCCTCAGTGCTCCTGGTGCGACGTGCTTCATCAGACCAAGACTCTGGTATGGAGCTCTTTCTCTTCTCGGGCATGGGAGGTCCTGTCCTGAGCTGCTGTCCCAGGTGCACAAAAGAAAGACCCCCAAGGGGGATGCTGGAGTCTATGGAACCAGTGCAATCCCAGCGCATCCCGGGGAGCCTTAACCAAGACCCACAGAAAGGGGAGGCCCCAGGAATCTGGATTCTTCTGTTACAGATGGCAAATTGCTGCTGCGCCTACTCTTGTCACAGTCCCATTCAAGACACCAGCCCAGGGGGTCTCTAAGAGATTCCTCCCAGGCTCTTCCCCTTTACCTGGCAGGGGTCAGGAGGTGCCTGGCCCCTAGGAAGCTCCCTCTGAGGCAACTGTCCTTTCAATTTCTCCGCACCAGATGTGCTGTGGTGTCCTGTGGGCAAGATGGGGAAAGGACGGGGTGGGGGGATGCCTACTCATGCCTGGAGCCCTGTGCGAATCGAGCTCTGCTTGGCAGGCCAGCCACACCCATGCTGTGGGAGGCGTCTTAAAGAGCGACTGTGTGAGGGGCCAACCAAATCCACCCAGAACTGTCGCCCTCTGCTTGCCCTGGTCTCTGTCAGTGTAGCCTTGGGAAGGGGGTCAGGGTCAGTCTCCAGGAACTCCAGTGTCCTCGGGACTCCTCCTGCCGTGCCGTGGTCCAGAGCCCAAGGGCAGACTGCAAGCTCACGTGCGGCAGAGCCCCAGAGCCCAGGCAAAGGCATGTCCAGGGCTGCTGGGCGGGGCATGCAGGGATGGGGTATCCTGGCACCCAAGGGCAGACTGCAAGCTCACGTGCGGCAGAGCCCCAGAGCCCAGGCAAAGGCATGTCCAGGGCTGCTGGGCGGGGCCTCCTCGGGCTGGCATGCAGGGATGGGGAATCCTGGCAGGTCCATGGAGGTGTCCCTGCTTTTCCTTCCCACCCCACTTGGCCACAGGCACCCTACACCAGCAGCTATCGCATTCCAGGGCCCAGGTGGTGTCCATGGTAACAGGCCCCCACGCCAGCTCTCCTAGATGGGCCCCTAGACGGTAAGAAAAGTAGGTAGTGGGGGGGGCAGGGGTGTTCCTCAGACCCCTCTGGGAGAAGGCTCAGCTTTTCAGTGGAGAGCAGGGACTGACCCAGGGCTCTGCGGGGTAGGCCGAGGGCACTTCTCCTGGGAGCAGGTATCGCCTTCTCTCCCGGGAACTCTCTTTTGTAGTGGACACTGAAATGGAAACGAGGCCAGGTGAGGCTGCGTTTCTGCCCTCCCTGCCCCTCTGCGGTCCCCCAGTGCCCTTTCCCTCAGGGGTGGGAGCCTCACAGTGCAGCAGCCTCGACTCGGACTCTGGAGCTGATGCTCCTGCCAGCCCCCACCGCCCCCACCCCAGCCCCAGCCAGCCCTGACTCCAGGGGGACTAGCCAGATTCTCCTGTCTCCACTCCCCTGTTCCCTGGCTCCTACCCCTTCCCCATCCAGCTCAGCCTCCAAGGCCCAGGGGGCACCTAGGAGCTCTGAGAAATGGTGACTGTGTCCCCCCGAGTCTGCAGGGAGGCCCCGACCTTGGGAGTTTGGAGCTAGATGTTTCTAACGTGCAGTGGAGGCTGAGAACCCCTCTGTACCCTCAGGACACCTCTGTGACGACACGTCACAGTCATGTCATGACGTATTTCCTGACATGGCTACAAGCTCCAGGGTGTGGCTATTTCCAGGGTCCTTGAGCCATGGTGAGCTAAAGGCGTGTGTGCCCTTCAATGGCATGTGGACTGAATTCAAGGGGTCTCTCTGACCAGAAGGGGGTGTATGCAGCCCTGGTATGGGATGTAGCTGCTCACCTGGCTTCCGCCCTGGCCTGCCCATTCCTGAGTTTGAAACTTGGCCTCTCCAGGCCCAAGAGGCCACCAATCAGCTGGCTTCCTTCCTGCCCAGAGCAGAAGCCCTGCTTGGAGCCCAGCCCCTGGCTGTGGTTGCTGGGAAGCTCTCCCCTCGTTCTGCTGTTCTGCACAACACTTACGTAATCATAGATTATATTTAGTCCACGGCCTGGGGTTGGTGAGATGGGAACCAACCACTCAGCGTCGTGGAATCTCCTTGGAACTCAAATCCAACAACTGAACGTTACTGTTCACAGTTTTTGTCTGTGTGCTCTCTTCAACCTCATCCACGTGTTTGGTACACTCTGCCCGGCATTGTGGCCAATGTCGACGTGAGGCTGCCCCCTGCTGGCCAAAAGCATCTCTACAGTCCACAGTCCTGGCCTGCCCATGCTAAGGTACAGGATGGATTCCCAAGGTCACAAAGACCCGCAAGGATATCCTATACATTTCTAGGAACTCTTTCTAGCCTGCCTGGAACCCATTCATCTTGTTCTCCCAGTCCCACCCCAGCATCATTACCCCAAGAGCTGGAAGGTGTAATGGAAAACGAGAAACTACCTGGAAAACACCGCGCTGTTGCTGTGGTTGCTGTTGCCGTAGGCAACATTGGCATTGGCATTGTTGGTATTGGCACGAGCCAGAGGGTTGGTGCGTGGATCCTGAGGGAAGTCCTCCAAGAAGACAGGTGACTCCAATTCCTCCATCTCGATCTCAGCAAACTGGAGGGGTCTCTGGCTCGCCATGACTGGGGGCAGGGAGTTGGTCCTTTCCAGGAAGTTGTCTACCTGGCCAAATAGGCCTCCGGTCCTCTAGAGGTAGGGGTGAGAGTGGGAGGGTTGAGAGCAGTGACTGGGAGGTGAGGGTAGGTGTGCCTGGGAACTGTCACCTGGGACGATGGTGCTGGGAACAAGTGATGGTGCTGGGACAAATCCCCCAAGCCTGGGAAGAATGGACGGAGGGCTGAGACCACAGGAAAGGAAGCTCCCCATTCGATGGGTAGACGGGACATGCCTAGGGGCCCACAGCAGAGACAGTGACACGGAGATAGGAAATGTGGCCATGTGGAGGAAGACCTGAACTGGGAGCCCGGAGCACTGGATTCTGGTTCCCTCCTGAAACTGACTTACTAAGTGATGGTGGCCTCCTCACCCTCTCCACTTTTGCTCTAGGGTGCTAAAGAAATCTAGACAGAGCCAGGGATGGGGGCTGGAGGAACTGGGAGCAGGTGGGCAGCTGATGTTGGAGGGATGTGGTTAGGGCTTGTGGGAGGGGAGAGAGTGGAGCTGGCAGGGGAAGTGGGAAGGGAGGGCATGTCATATTGGTCATCCCAAGTAGGCTGGGAGTTCATTCTGAGTCCCAAAGGAGGGGTGCAGAGGTGAGGAGGGGTGTCCCAACCCCCTTGCACCCCTCGGTCTGGCGAGCTTCCCACCTTCCTGCAGGACAGCACCGCTCACTGGGGCGGACGCAGCTCTCACCTACCCGGAATATCCCTTCCTCCATTGCAGCCTCCACCATGGCCCGCTCCCGACCCTCCCTCCCCGTG